TGATGATATGCCCAAGGGGCGGTATGTGATACATGTTTTGCACGGGGGGCTGTTTATGTTTTCTATCAGTTTTACTCACTCTCTTATCACTCGTTTGAAACTATTGAAAGTTGTTTTAAAAGGGGTCTTACCGAAACTGAGCATGATTTTTGAAGTAAATGATTTATGTACTATATCGGAAATGTCCTTCTTTTATTGTAGCATTTTGACGTGGTTTACGTATTTTCTTACTGCTCAGCTTTTATTTACCTTTATTACTTACTGAGTTGGCGTACTCACATTACTCCCTACACCTTGTGTGCAGATTCAGGTATTTCTAAATCCGGTAGCGGGTGTTGATTGCTCAGTGGAAGTGTCATCGGAGTTAGCAAGGCAGCTGCTAGACGTTTCCAGTACTGCTTTTTCTCCCTCTTGTCCTCCTTCGACTGTATTTAGTACATTCTTAGACTCTTGTTGTATTCAGACCTTAGTATATGCTCGTGACTTGTGACATCCCATGTCGGGCTTGTATATTATTTCTGCACTGTTCATTTAGACTTACATTATGAGACATTTGATTAATTAAAGACTAAAAAATGATTCTTATTGATTAATGGTAAATTCGGTAGTTGTGTCGGCTGGCCTAGTTTCACGATATGCGGCATCACGACGGGCCGGTTTTAGGGTCGTGACATAATAGGACATTACCCAGTTAACTAATAAGTGAATAAAACTTAATTAATTATACTCCAAAGACATGTGGCAGCACTAGCTTACCACATGAACTAACTAAGTAATTAAATATCCTAGGTGGCTATCTATGATGTAATTGAATTAAACAACTAAAAGAGTGTTTGTCGTAATTCATTTTAGATAAGGAGAAAAGTAACGTTAGAAACTCCAAAAGCAAAAACTTTTCCTTTCTATGTTTTAACACTTCAAAGTTAAGAACAGAATCTCCAACGTCCAAACCTTCAACGCCAAGAACAGAAGCTGATTTAGTTCATCAGTTTCAAAATGCAGAAGCTTAATCCGATTTTTGAGTTCTAAGTTCAATCCACGAAGGTTTTCAACGGAATATTATACGGAGTTTTCCCTACTCCAGGTATGTTAAGGTCATCCCTTCTTTCGTTTGGCATGATCCAAATTATACTGAAGAAACGAGCAAACGAACGGTTTCCATAAATTACTCTATTCATAGAAATACTAGGGGTGTCTATATTCTTGAGTTCCCCATGTGAATTATTATTATCATCTGTTCATGGGTCTCAGAATAATATACAGTTGAAAAAGTTTATCCGAAAGGAATATTGAGATTTTTACGTATTTTTCATACATTTTACCCATTTATACATGTGCATTGACCCATGACCAGATGACGTTATATATGTGTATATATATAAATATATGTATATGGGATATGGGAAAAGGTTACGACGTTATAGACGCACCACCACCTGATCAGCTGGTATATGTTGATGATGTTGCCCATAGNCATTTATACATGTGAATTGACCCATGACCAGATGACGTTATATATGTGTATATATATAAATATATGTATATGGGATATGGGAAAAGGTTACGGCGTTATATACGCACCACCGCCTGATCAGCTGGTATATGTTGATGATGTTATCTNGATGATGTTGCCCATAGTGGCCAAGACGATATGATGGGATGCCCTCAGTGGCTTGATGATATTACGTACACCCTTACCTATGCATGATATGACATTTATACGCACGTGCATGACATTATAAATGTTTCAGAATTTACAAAGTTATTCGNTATGTACACTCATACCTATGCATGACACGACATTTATACGCACGTGCATGACATTATAAACATTTCAAAATTTACAAAGTTATTCAGATTTAAAGATGTGTTTCTTTATTTCATGTTTCGTCTATGTCTTTTATGTACTAATTTTCATGCCTTACATACTCAGTACATTTTTTGTATTGACGCCCTATTTTACAGGGCCTGCATTTCATGCCCGCATGTACAGNTTCCATGTTTCATCTATGTCTTTTACGTACTAATTTTCATGCCTTACATACTCAATACATTTTTAGTACTGATGCCCTATTTTACGGGGCATGTATTTCATGCCCGTAGGCGTAGTAGGAAAGCTGATCGTCCCCCTTCTTAGGATCCCTGATCAGCGAGAGTTAGCGTGCTCCACTTGATCTGGAGCTGCTTTTGATTTTGGTACGATACGTTTGTATATATATATGATGTGGCTCAGTCTCGTCTTTGTACAGTTATGTTTCTATTAGAGGTTTGTAGGCAGTATGTCTAGTTGGATTGTATGTGGCCTTGTCGGCTTTCAGCTTTGGATGTATAGTTGTCTATGACAACCTTGCCGGCTCGCCCATTGTATTCTACATGTGTACATATGCCTTGTTGGCAGATTTCCTTCATGTATGCTATTTTTGTAATTCAGCAGATGTTATTCAGGTTCATACTTTAGATGTGTGCTTAGGGGTGTTTGACATGTAGAACTCAGGCACCAGTCATGGCCCTTCGGTTTGGGTCGTGTCATTCTCCTTTAGAGTTTGAATGGTTGTTTGTTGATTTGTGTGCTATAATGGATTACTTGTACATAGAATTCAAGTAAAGTGCCATTACCATACTCTAAATATGTTAAGATTTTCCTGTTAAAGTTGGGAATAAGAATGAAATGATGTTTACTGTCCACAGTGCCATATTTTGCAGATTTGACCATAGTTGGCCAAATCTATAAACATTAAGGCCAAAATAGCGTCCAAGAGCATCGTCAGAGAGTCAGACGCAATTGGAAAGTCAATGGTCTCGTGGAGGATCTGTATTTATTAGGTTGCAGTTAAGAACTGCTTTTATTTAATTCTATTATGAAATGATAATTGTGAGAGTCATAGTTATACAAGCCTGTTTATGCAGCTTATTTGGAGTGTGAGTGTAAATAATGATACATTGTAATGTTAGTTATAACTCTCTTATTTCACTTGATATATAGATTATGGGGTTTAACATGAGTACTTGTGTAGCTTTTCAATGAAGTTATAGCTGCGATTATTAGAATATTTAGCCAGATGTAATGATTGCATAATGTTAAGTTTATTTTGTTCATGATTAGAATTATGTAAAATTCAGTTGAACTATCCATTTTTATAATTTTGATCTTTAAAGTTTGGACATCTGAAATCATGTCTCTTTGAATACTAAGACCAATAACAAGATAATTGAAGTTGGTATAACAAAGGAGTTCATGTGAACTCAAGCATGAGTTGTGGGCTGGCCCAAAATGTTATGGCCCACCTTAAGAGCCTTTAATAACCCATAGGCTCTTGAAAGCAAGCATGGCTAATTGGATCAAAATAATTCCCTATGAGCATAAGTTTGTTCCTTAGGAATAAAATTAGACTTCCATACGTAATCACTACTATGAAAATTGGCTAGACGTCGAACAATTTGTGAATATACGTTAGAATGCTTTGATGCATTTCAATTTATTATCGTGATTATGTACATATTCGCGTGACATGATTACGATTTCTAAAATGGATATTCGTAGGATGCTTTAGGTGTGTTCTAATTTATTATCGTAATTATGTACACGTTCGCGTGGCATGATTATGATTTCCACAAATAAATCAAAGTACGTGTTCGCTCGACTTTGGACAAAACAATCCTCATATTAATAAAGTGTGATTAATTGTGTACACGTACGCGTGACATGATTTAAGCCCCCCCAAATAAAACGGGTTTACACACATGTAACCCGTTTCAAGATTAAATCCATATGCGCTATAATTAAAAGCGAAAAGAGGTAAAATGCACATAGGTTTTAAGAAATACGTAATTAAACAATTTAATTAAGTTGGGTATGATTAAAGTGGCCGTGCTAAAACTACGAAATACGGAAGTACCTAACACCTTCTCCTGGGTTAACAGAATTCCTTACTCGTTTTTCTGGTTTTGCGAACTTTAAAACAGAGTCAAAATTTCCTCTATTTGGGATTTAAAATAAACTAATGACTTGGGACACCATAACAAATATCCCATTTAGTTTGAAAAATGCTGGGGCAACCTACATGAGAGCTATGACTGCCATCTTCCATGACATGATTCACCAGGAAATTGAGGTGTATATGGATGATGTGATCATTAAATCCAGAATGTAGGAAGACCATGTGTGGGATTTGAGAAAGTTCTTTGAGCGCCTGCACAGGTATGACTTGAAATTGAACCCAGCTGAATGTGCGTTTGGAGTTCCATCTGGAAAGCTTCTGGGGTTTATAGTTAGCCGAAGGGGTATTGAGTTAGATCCGACAAAGATAAAGTCTACTCAGGATTTCCCACCTCCGAGAACAAAGAAAGAGTTCATGAGTCTGCTAGGAAGATTGAATTACATCAGTAGATTCATCGCTCAACTCACTACCACTTGCGAGCCCATATTCAAACTATTAAAGAAAGAAGCAACGATCAAAATGGACAGATGAGTGTCAAGAAGCTTTTGATAAAATCAAAGAATATCTATCAAATCCGCCAGTGTTGGTTCCACCCGAGCCAGGAAGAGCTTTGTTCTTGTACCTGACCGTGTTGGAAAATTCCTTCAGTTGTTTCCTGGGGCAACATGATGTGATCGGGAAGAGAGATCAAGCCATATACTACCTGAGCAAGAAGTTTACCAGTTACGAAGCCAAATACACTTTGTTAGAAAGAACTTGTTGTGCCCTAACTTGGGTCGCCCAGAAGCTCAGACATTATCTTTTGGCCTACACCATATATCTCATAACCAGAATGGATCCTTTGAAGTACATATTCCAGAAACCAATGCCTACGAGAAGGTTAGCAAAATAGAAAATCCCGCTCATTGAGTTCGACATTGTCTATGTCACCCGTACGACGATGAAAGCTCAAGCCTTGGCGGATCATCTAGCTGAGAACCTGGTTGGTGATGAATACCAACCCCTAAGTACTTACTTTCCAGATGAGGAAGTGAACTCAGTTGAAGTACAAATGCTTGGAAAATGTTCTTTGATGAAGGTGTAAATGCAAAAAGTGTCGGGATTGGAGCAATTTTGATATCGCCCACTGGTCAGCACTATCCAGCCACAGCTCGGCTTCGGTTCTTCTGTACGAACAATACTGTAGAGTATGAAGCTTGCATCATGGGTATGAACATGGCAGTTGATCTGGATGTTAAGGAATTGTTAATCATGGGAGATTCTGATTTGATTATCCGGCAAGCTCAAGGCGAGTGGGAAACTCGAGATATAAAACTCATCCCGTACAGGCAACATGTGGAAGATCTTAGCAAACGGTTCAAGTCCTTTGAATTCAAGTATATTCCTCGATTCCACAACGAGTTAGCTGATGCATTAGCTACTTTGGCCTTAATGTTGTCGTGTCGGGGCAATGTCCATATTGACCCGTTAGAAATCCAAATTCGAGAAAGGCATGGTTATTGTAATGCAATTGAAATAGAACCAGATGTTCAGCCATGGTATCATGATATCAAAAGGTTTTTGAAAATAAAGAAATATCCCAAGCAGGCTAGTAGAGACCAAAAGAGAACCATTAGAAGGCTTGCCAGCAGTTTTTTTTAGCGGAGAAGTCTTGTACAAAAGAACTCCAGATCTGAATCTTCTAAGGTGCGTATATGCTCGAGAAGCTGAAAAGATCATGAATGAAGTGCATTCGGGAGTATATGGGCCTCACATGAATGGATATGTCCTTGCAAAGAAAATCCTTCGGGCAGGTTATTACTGGATGATCATGGAAAATGATTGCTTCAGTTTTGTCTAGAAGTGCCATCAGTGTCAAATTCACAGTGACCTAATTCATGCACCACCTTCAGAGTTGCATCCAAGGTCAGCACCTTGGCCATTCATTGCCTGGGGTATTGACGTCATCAGGCCAATCGAGCCGAAAGCTTCAAATGGGCACAAATTAATCTTGGTTGCCATTGACTATTTTATAAAGTGGGTTGAAGCAGTCACTTTCAAAGTTGTCACCAAGAAAGCGGTGGTGGACTTCGTGCATTCCAACATTATTTGTTGTTTTGGTATTCTTAAAACTATCATTATAGACAATGTTGCAAACCTGAGCAGCCACTTGATGAGGGAGGCCGACGAACAATTTAAGATTACGCATCGTAACTGTATCCCTTATCGACCTAAAGCTAATGGCTCTGTCGAAGCTGCAAACAAGAATATCAAGAAGATCCTCAGGAAAATGATTCAAAGTTCTAGAAAATGGCATGAAAAACTTTCTTTTGCATTATTGGGATATCATGCAACCGTGCGCACGTCAGTTGGGGCCACGCCTTATTTATTGGTTTATGGCACTAAAACCATAATACCTACAGAAGTTGAGATTCCCTCTCTTCGAATCATTGTTGAAGCTGAGATCAAGGATGATGAATGGGTTGAGACTCGGTTGGAACAATTAACTCTGATTGATAAAAAGCGGATGGCCACAGTTTGCCATGGGCAGTTATACCAACAGAGAATAGCCCGTTCCTACAACAAAAAAGTGCGGCCTGGGAAATTCGAAGTGGGGAAACTCGTTCTGAGACGCATTCTCCCACCTCATGAGGAAGCAAAAGGAAAATTTGCTCCAAATTGGAAAGGTCCATATATTATAAGAAAAGTATTGTCGATGGGAGCGCTACATTTGGGGGATATCGAAGGAAATGACCTCGAAGCAGCTATCAATACAAATGCAGTCAAAAGGTATTATGTTTGACCCCTTTACGCAACTTTAATACTCTCCGGTTGGGATGACGAAGGCTTTTATTCTCGCTACCCAAACACTACCAACCCTTGCAAACCCTTTGAGTCGGTTCCCTTTTCTTCTTTGATTACCCTCTTTGGAACCAGGAAGTTATTATGAAAAAAATGCATGATGAAAAGAAAGAAAACAAAAGAAATCAAAAAAAAAGTTTCTTGAACTACGTTCAACTTAATTCCGAAAGGATATGTAGGTAGCCTCTCTCTGGGGTTTAGTCACACCAAAACAAAAATCCACATTTCCCCAAAGTTGAAATTGGGGTAGAAGTTATAATGACTGATAACTACACATTCTAGACTATCTTATTCTCTCTTTTGCTTAGGTTTTGGATAAAAAATGTGTAAAAGTATTCCCGAAAACTAACTTATTGTGCTTGTTTGCAGGGTTTGGTCAAAATAAAGCAAGAAAGTCATAACCAGCTCATGAAGGAGTTAAATCTGCACAAGTTCAAAGCTGAGATAAAAACGTTGACAGCGAAGGAAAAGAGCAGCCGCGGAAGGTCCACCGTTGAGGCGGCCACAATTACGCTGACAGAGGAATTGAGGTTCAAAGAAGGTGTTTTGGATGCAGATAGGGACTGCTGACCGCGATGAAATAACGCGGCAGTAGAATACTTTATGCGGTCATGATGCAAATTCCGCTGAGGGCAAAATAGAGATTCAGAGGCCTGGAAATTTGAGCTCTAATGAAGAGCGCAGTCCGCGACATTTTACGCGGCCGCGGTAGAAGACAATGCTGAGGCGATCTCTTTTATGCTCCCAGCAAAATCAAGCCCAGTCCCAGTCCAAAATCGAAGAAACACAGTCCGTGCTTGTTTTTGTGCATCCGCAAAAGTTCTAACGCTGAGGCGCTCAGTATTACGCTGACAACGGAACCTCCGTAGGGGTATTTTTGTCCAGTAATTTTAGCTGTGTATAAATAGATCTTTTTCACATTTTTAGGTCATCTTTTGCTTTGAGGAGCTCGTGAACAGTTGCATTTTACTACTTAGAGTAATTTTAGAGCAGCTTTAGCTATTATTCTTAGATTTTATTCTTGTAATCAACTTTTATCGTTTATTTTTCATCTTCATCTTTGATTTCTACCTTTATTATGAATAGCTAAACCCATTAGCTAGGGTTGTGACCCAACCCTAGTGTGGGTATATAATGGGTATTCTATTTTAGGGCTTAATTGTTTATGGGTTAGTGATATTTAGCTTTATTCATGCTTTAATTGTAGAATTGGTGGTTGCAAACACTAATTCATACCTTCATGACTTAGACTCTTCTTGAGAAATAGGGACTAATTCTAGGAAAATTAGGCTAAAAAGGAATTGGGGTGCACTCAAGAGACTGATAGCCCCAATTAAAGGGTTAAACCTAGAGATAATAATACCCGACTTGAGCCAATTTTACTTGTATTGTTTGAGTACCCAATTGGGCTTGAGAAAGCCAATTAGGGCAAAGTCACTCAAACAATAGAGATCCCATTAGATTATATCACGACTCCAATTATAACAAGCGTGTCCTAAATTTTAGATCCCATTAGATACTCACCTAGGTATAACTCACTTCCCTAGTGCTTTTTATCACTTGAGAAAACTTTACAAAATATTGTACTTAGTTTATTTTCAGCAATCAATAGCATTAAAAGTATAATAGTAACAAATCCAAACATGGTTAGAAGTGCAATTAAAAGCAACACGCATAGCTAGAATAGATAGAAACCCAACTCCCAACCAATATAAACTCCCTGTGGAAATCGATCCCGACCTTTCGGGTAAAAGCTGCATCGACCACTCCTTGCCATTATATCATGGTGTAGGGTTGGATCCGATCAATGATTCGGCGATGGTTTCGCCCGAAAGGTTCCAAAGTTGCAACTCAATCCAAATCCTTTTTAAGTCCTTCTGATCAATCAACAAGAATTTAAAATGGGAGGATACAATAACTTGGATCTGATACAACCAAATGAGAGAAATAAAATGAGAGAGTCTTACTAGTGAAAACCTTCACGAGTACTATAAGACGATGGTAAGCAGAGAAATTGAAACTGAGAGAGTCTTATTAGTGAAAACTTACAAAGAGTACTATAAAGCGATGGTGAGAAGAGAATTGAGAGAGGTCAGCTGGTGAAAACCTGCAAAGGATGCCACGGATCGAAAAGAGGATCCTCACATCCATCAGCAACGATAGAGTCCTGGAAAGGTTTCTCGATTTTGAGGCATAAGTTGTGATGAATTTTTGAGAGTTGGACGGTTTACACAGATCAGACATCCAGTCCAAAAGGCATGTCATGTTCATTGAAGTCTGCATGTACTCCAGATAAGTCCTTCTTTCCTTTCCCCAAAAGGGATACCTTTTGTCTAAATTCATTGTCTATTTCATTATTTGTTTTTCTTTGAATCCCTTTCAGTCTAACTCTATTCCGAAACTAAGACAAAGAAAGGATGGTAATACTGATTTACAGGATTATCACTTGATACGAGCTAATATGCAAAAAGGCACCCAGCCTCAGCAGGGGCATCAAGTTGTCTCCGACTGGCCATGGTGGCTGATGCTTCAAAATCAAAAACTATTGAAAGGGAAATTCAAAGTCAAATGCCCACAAAGGTAAAATAAAGTTGAAAAGGTTAAGTCCCACGTGACTGACCGTCATGCCAAAGTCTGGAAAAGCCAGAGGTTCTCTGAGGTTAGAAATGCAATCGATATTCAGGAAACAACTAGTTGCAACTAAAAGGGCCGAGATCAAGTGACTGAAACAATCAAGGCCACAAACCAACCACCGTTTCAAACTGACAAATTATTCTTTGTTTGAAAAAACAAAAAACAGGTGTAATCCAAAAGCAACCTTGCAAGAAGCAGGTGCAACTAAAAAGAAACTGCTCAAAGGCTAGAAACAGCTTTACAGCAACAACTCCAAAAAGAAAAGTCTCCTCCAAAATTCTTTCCTGCATTTACTCATTCTTTGAAATAATGAAAAAAGAAGAATAGAACAAATGATGATAAAATGATGAAAAAAAGGAAAAGAAAGAAAAGGAAGAAAAAGTTCAAATCATGGTAGTATAGGGTATCCAATCCCTAGCTGCATTTTCCAACATAGGATCTCCACTCCTTGGTTGATTTTATTTTAGACATAGAGTCTCCACTCCCTAGTATCTTTTCCAACATAGGGTCTCCACTCCCTTGTTGATGATTTTTAGACGTAGGGTCTCCCCTCCCTAGTCGTTTTTCAAACATAGGATCTTCACTACCTAGTTAATGCTTTTTAGACATAGGGTCTCCACTCCCTAATTAATGATTTTAGACATAGGGTCTCCACTCCCTAGTCGCTTTTCCAACATAGGGTTTCCGCTCCCTGGTTGATTTTATATTGGACATATGGTCTCCATTCCCTAGTCTCTTCTCTAACATAGGGTTTCCACTCCCTAGTTGCTTTAATTTTAGACATAGGGTCTCCACTCCCTAGTTGTTGATTTTTAGATATAGGGTCTCCATTCCGTAGTCGCTTTTCCAACATAGAGTCTCCACTCCCTAGTTGATTAATTTTAGACATAGGGTCCACATTCCTTAGTCGCTTGTCCAACATAGGGTCTCCATTTCCTAGTTGATGATTTTTAGACATAAGGTCTGCACTCCCTAGTCGCTTTTCCAATATAGGGTCTCCACTCCCTAGTTGATATTCTTAGACATAGAGTCTCAACTGCCTAGTCGCTTTTCCAACATAAGGTCTCCAATCCCTAGTTGATTTTGTTTTAGACATAGTGTCTCCACTCCCTAGTCGCTTTTCTAACATAGGGTCTCCACTCCCTAATTAATTTTATTTTGGACATAGGGTCTCCACTCCCTAGTCTCTTCTCCAACATAGGATTTCCACTCCCTAGTCTCTTCTCCAACATAGGGTTTCCACTCCCTAGTCTCTTCTCCAACATAGGATTTCCACTCCCTAGTCTCTTCTCCAACATAGGGTTTCCACTCCCTAGTCTCTTCTCCAACATAGGGTTTCCACTCCCTAGTCTCTTCTCCAACATAGGGTTTCCACTCCCTAGTTGCTTTAATTTTAAACATAGGGTATCCACTCCCAAGTCTCTATTTTCCCAGGGTACACCAATCCCAACCATTTATCGCTTTCAATGATGAAGCAGTATAGAGTTTTATTACAAATAACTCATGAAACTTTCCTAGTAAAAACTGGAGCAGAAAATTTTTATTCGTTTGTTTGTTTTGGTGCCTGAGCAGGTTATACCTCAAGTCTCAATCCAAAATGGAGAAAAGAAAAGGAAAAGAAGTGAATTTAAAGCGCAGAAGCGGAGAAAAGATATGGACCGTTCAAGATATGATTGAAGTCACAAGCTTTGCATGTCCCGTCCTAATCTGAAAAGCTGAAGAAGAATGAACTAGCACCTGCAGCTGGCATGCATCAAGGTTCAGATCAGAGTTTGTGTGAAGAACCAGCCAAGACTTATAGATAGGAATCTTGTAACTCGTAGCTGATAGGCTTAGTTAATCTTTTTCGTTTTGACTTTGGTGTAATAAGGAGCTCAGCAAGCAGCAACAACAGTGAAATCTTAGCTTCTCGGTAGTCCCAACTATAAAAATTTCCAGAACTATACTGACTTGATTCCTTTATAGCCAAGGATATATAGGCAACCTCCGTAGCAAGGTTCAGTCAAAAGTTTTCAAAGTGCTTCTTATGGAGTATCCAAACGGGAAAAATCGCTCGTAATTGCTCACTTTATCGTTGCCCGAAATGTTTTTGTGTTTCCGAGCAAAGAGGGGCAGCTGTGAGCACGTGATTTTTGCCTCACCGATGAAATACTCCTACAAAATTAACAAATAGATTTTTCCTAATTGTTTTTAATTTTCATAGAAATTTTAGGAATTTTTTGTTAATAAATTATTTGCATTTTTAATGCATATTTAACATTTTAAAATTATAGAAAAATACCAAAAAATGTTCAACGCTTCATCGCATAGAATTTTAGATTTTAATTGTATTTATAATTTAATTACATTATTAGCTGCATTATTAAACAAAAATCACAAAAAATACAATGCTTGTATATTTTTAGTCTTTAGTCTTAATTATTTAGTGACAAGTTAATAGAAAATAAGTTAAGGAAAATTTTACCAAATAGATTAATCTAATTTAAGATTTTAGTTATTTTTAGAATTTTAATTAATTCAATTAGATTTTTAAAATCAAAAGAAAAAGAAATAAAGAAAGGGAATTAAGGAATTTGTTTGATCTTGTTCAAAAGTGGACCAAAAGCTCCAATGGCCCAATTTCCCTACACGCCTGCCCCAGCCCAAACCCAATAATCCGGTCCATCTCTCACCTAACCAAACAACAGCGTTTGGTAGAGTTTTGATCCCAATCATCTATCATTTTTTATCCAACGGGTCGCAACTAACTCTCCATTCCCCCTAAAAATGTCGGGGACCCCCCCAAACCCTAGAGAAGACATCCATTTCCCCCCGTTCACCTCTCTCTAAACCTCCGCCACTGGCCGCCCCGGAAATCGCCCACGGCGGCGGCAATGCTCCAAACCACCCCAAATCTTACCTCCCTCATCACTAATCTCCCACTAGTTTCCCAAGATACCCACCAAATTTGCCGAATTTTAGATCTAAAAAGGGGCAGAAACCCCAGTTTCCTCCTCTTTCTGATTTTCTGAGTTTCAATACCCGTTTTGACTCGAAACTTATGCTAATCGATTTTTTTTGGCAAGAACAATCGATTAGTGTTACTTTCAGAGCATTTCGGAGATGTTCGGACTCTATGATTGGCCAAGTATTTGTCAAAAGTTTTTCTTGTTGTATTTAGGTAATAATCTACCATTTGCTTGTCTCTTTGTTCTTTGATTTTCATGAATTTTGATTTGTTAGAAAAATCTGTCAGCATGTTAGGATTTAAGATTGTTTAGTTTTGTGTTTTAGTTCAGTAGATTAGTAGATAGTTTAATTAAATGATTGGTCAATTTAGTCGTGTTGGAATGTTAAAACAATTTTCTATTTTTATTTATTGCACAATTGCATTTGTTTGTCTTGTTTTGACTTTTTATCTTTGGATATGTTTGATTTTCTTGCTGAAGCTGTTTGTAAACATTAGGAAAGGTTTTTTGTTTGGGAGTTTTAAGAAGTAACAACTGAAACTTAAGGGGGCTTAAGGGCATTGAAAATATGGAATCTTTTTCAGTTGTTAGGGGAGTCTCAAGAAGGGACTAATGTGCATTAAAAAATAAGAAATTAGATCAAATTTTGGGGTTAAAAGTGTTAAAATCAGAAGTAAAAGGGCTGAAAAAAGGTGAGTAAATATCTGAACAACTGTCCCAATTCAGTTTCAAAATATGCTCTTTCATATTTTTAGGGACTGCATTCCCCAGAATTATTCCCTCATCCTTTGTCTATATAAGAAGCCTGACATACCCTTCATTCAGATAGATTTTTACACACGAAAAAGCACTCTCAAGTTAGAATTCCTCCTTGCATTTCCTCACTAATTTCTAAGAGTCCACTATTCTTCATTTTTCATTTTTAGTAAAGAAAAATTTTCTAGAAAACCAAATTTGGGATTTTAGAAACAAAAAAAATAACCAAAGGTATTCATTAGCTTGCTTCATCATTGGACAGTTGTTTCTTTTCAAATTCTGGGTTTGAAATTTCGTGGAAGCTTCATTTTTACTGTTTGGCTACTATTTGATTAAGCTGTAGCTGACTCTGTTTAGCTGCATTTCTTCAAGTCAGAATCTTATTTTCTTGTTGTTTTTACTGCTGTCAAGGTACTACTTCTAATCTCTAATGACGTATCTGTCATTATGATACTATATTACCATGAAAAATTGCAATAGTTCTTCACTTTTTGTCTTATAAATTGCATTTTATAACTGCAAGCTCTAGTTTGAAGTCTGAATTTGTCTTCTCCTTCAGAGTTTGAATGGTTGTTTGTTGATTTGTGTGCTGTCATGGATTACTTGTACATAGAATTCAAGTAAAGTGCCATTACCATACTCTGAATATGTTAAGATGTTTCCTATTAAAATTAGGAATAAGAATGAATTGTTGTTTACTGTCCACAGTGCCATATTTTGCATATTTGACTATAGTTGGCCAAATCTGTAAACATTGAGGCCAAAATAGCATCCAATAGCATCGTTAAAGAGTCAGGCGTAATCTGAAAGTCAATGATCTCGTAGAGGAGCTGTATTTATTAGGCTGCAGTTAGGAACTACTTTTATTTAAATGTATTATGAAATGATAATTGTGAGACTCATAGTTACACAAGCCTATTTATGTAGCTTATTTGGAGTTTGAGTGTAAATAATGATACATTGTAATGTCAGTTATACCTTTCTTCTTTCACTTGATATACAGATTATGGGGTTTAACATGAGTATTTGTGTAGCTTTTCAATGAAGTTATAGCTGCGATTATTAGAATATTTAGCCAGATGTAATGATTGAATAATTCTAAGTTTATTTTGTTCATGATTAGAATTATGTAAAATTCAGTGGAACTATCCATTTTTATAATTTTGATCCTTAAAGTTTGGACATCTGAAATCATGTCACTTTGAATACTAAGACCAATAACAAGATAATTGAATGTTGTATAACAAAGGAGTTCATGTGAACTCGAGCATGAGTTGTGAGCTGGGCCAAAATTTTACGGCCCACCTCAAGAGCCTTTAATAACCCATAGGTTCTTGAAAGCAAGCATGGCTAATTAGATCCAAACAATTTCCTGTGAGCATAAGTTTATTCCTTAGGAATAAAATTAGACTTTCATACGTAATCACTACTCTGAAAATTACAGCTTTAGATGTGTTTCAATTTATTATCGTGATTATGTACACGTTCGCGCGACACGATTATGATTTCTAAAATGATGATTCGTATGATGCTTTAGGCACGTTCTAATTTATTATCGTAATTGTGTACACATTCACGTGACATGATTATGATTTTCACAAATAAATTAAAGTATGCGTTCGCGCGTCTTTGGCCAAAACAATCCTCATATTAATAAAGCGTGATTAATTGTGTACACGTACGCGTGACATGATTTAAGCGCCCCAAATAAAACGGGTTTGCACACATGTAACCTAATTCAAGATTAAATCCATAAGCGCCATAATTAAAAGCGGAAAGAGGTAAAATGCATATAGGTTTTAAAAAATAGATAATTAAATAATTTAATTAAGTTAGGTATGATTAAACCGACCGTGCTAAAACCACGGAAGACAGGAGTGCCTAACACCTTCTCCCAGATTAACAGAATTTCTTACTCATTCTTCTGATTTTGTGGACTTTAAAACAGAGTCAAAATTTTCTCGATTTGGGATTTAAAATAAACCGGTGATTTGGGGAACCATAACAAATTTCCCAAGTGACGACTCTAAAATTAAATAATTAATCTCATTTCGATTAATGTCACTTAAATTGAAAAAACTCCCTATTCCCTCGGAAAAAGGAGGTGTGACAATATGTATATACAAAAATTTAAACTTATTTATCCGATTTATCTAAGTTTTTCTATTTACAAAAAGTAACTAAAGTTTTTTTTACAAAATATATAAAAATCCGATCAAAATCTACAATTTATTTACAACTTGAACATAATTTTTTTTGTACAAAATCCGGCCAGAACTACAATTTATATATAATTTATATACAACTTAAATATAATTATGTTACTTTGTATGTTATTTCTACACCCGACATACAAAATATATACAATTTATTTATAGCTTCTTGTTCGAGTTTCAATCTGAAATTTCAACCAAAATTATTAGGAATCTTTACCAAGTTCTCCTAAATTGAGAGATGAACTCCAAAGGATATTCTCAATTATTTTCAACAACACCCAATCCAAATAAATAATAAAATTAGTAAAATTCAATTTTGAATTCAAAGCTACAAATTTTTTTAATGATTGTCAATGAAGTTTAGACTCATATATTTGAGTTTCACACCTCGAAACAAATCTAATTCACTAATTAAGCAATTGTTTCAGCAGTGGAGTTTATTTCGGCAGCATGTTGTTTCATGTCTTTATTGTTTGAAACGCCCCAAGTTTCTTAGGTTGTAGAGATTCAAACTAGTACTTATATCTATTAAAATGCTTTTGGTCAAATTTGTTGTGATGTGATAAAATTGAATTCTACCTACGGAGAGTAGGATAGAAATAGAGAAGAATGAAGCCTAAAATAGGTAAGATTGGAGTCTAATACTTATTTTGTATGTAAATGATAAATTATATATGTTAATATAATTAAGTGATAAAATCTATAAAATATGAGTAAATAAGTTTATGATGTAGCATAGATAGGTAAAAATTCTAAAAAAGAAAGATATAAAAAAGGAAATGACATGTATAGCCACTCCCAGCTAATAGCCAAAAAATATATACACACATACATTTCTGTATGTTATGTTAAAAAATATACAAATCTTATATACTTTTATGGTTATTGGATATAAGTAGTTTTAGTTACCACCAAAGGATGTGGTGCAGTGGATGAAACTGCTCTTCCCTTAACCAGAGGTCTCGAGTTCGAGCCTTGGGTATGGAAAATTCTTGGTAGGGAGTGCTTCCCCCCGAATGGGGCCCTACGCGGCGTGAATCCAGATATAGTCGGGCTCCAATGCGTATGCCGGACACCTGGTGGGAAACCCAAAAAAAAGCTTCCAGTTGCGGCCTAAAAGTAATCTTTGCTCTCTCAAAAGTAAAAATAGCATGGGCTAGCCAGTTTTCAGACTGGTCATTGAAAAATAGCCAGTACTTGCAAAGTTATTGAAAAATAGCCACTATTTTGCTTCAACATAGAAAGTTCCAGCATAATATACTGGAGATCGGTGCACCTGTGTATGAACTTCCAGCATATTATGTTGGAACTCCAACATGCAGAAAGTTCTAGTATAATATACTGGAGTTTGGAGCATCGGTGCTCCACTCTCCTGTATATTATGCTGGACCGACATATTATACTAGAGTATTTTTCCGGATTTTGAACAGTATTTTCGTTCAGATTTATTTTTACATAAAAAGTAGCTAAATTTCGATTACTTTTGAAACTATAGCTATTTTTGAATGACCACTTATAAATCTGGCTATTTTTGAATTTCTCCCCTCTCAAAAAGATCAATTTAGGGCCCATTAGAGAATTGGATTCTTTGGGGGCCAATAAAGTGGTACAGAAGTGCTAATGCTGGTCTCTAATCTTCAAAACTTCTTAAGAATTTCTTTTAGATTCTATATTGAGGTTATTTTTCATTGGATAATAAGAAATTATACTCGTGCTCCAGAAATACAAAACGATACAAATACTAAAATGACCCGCTTGCACTACTTTTTTCTAATCGTATGTTAACAGTGAAAAGATGCCTAAAGGCCTTCTGGGATTGCTTTCCGTATAAAGGAACCAAAGTTGCTTCAAATTATTGCACAGCATCCTCTAAGACGTACTCCCTCCGTTTCATTATATGAACCTATTTTTTTTTTGTCCGTTCTAAAAAGAATGATCATTTTTAAATTTGAAAGTAATTTAGCTGAAACTTTCAATTCTACCCTTAATGAGAAGCTTTTATAACCACACAAATACTCTAGACCCTTTTTTGATTTGTTTAGGACCACAAATGTCAAAAGTATTCATTTTTTTTTAAACTTTGTGCCCAGTCAAACAGGTTCACATAAATTGGAATGGTAGGAGTATTTATTTCACCGAATCTCTCTGATGTAGAAATTTTTTGCCTTGTGTAGATAGCGAATGACAAGGTTTGACTTACGCGATTAGACACATTTAAATTGTTTTTAAATATAAAAATATGGCAATTTTTTTGGAACCGACTAATAAAGAAAGTTAGAGGGAGTAATTTTTTTGAAAGCACAATGTATGCATGCAAGAACTATATAATTAGTATTATAAATTTCAGGACTTACAATTATAAATATTTTACATGTTTGAAAAAAAAAACGTAGTAAAAGAGAAGGTGTCTAACTCCACACGTAAGTGAAACGAAGGGAATATTGCCTCCAATTACATCTAATTTAGGTTTACCCCAATAATTTTGTAAGAAGATCAAGAAACCAAACTATAGGGGTGTTCGTGGAATTTAAAGTTGCGAACAAAATTATTGCCACCCGATGTTTACGCTAAATCAAATATTCACCGTTTAATAAATTTGGCCACTTAATTATGATTAACTTTTGTGATTAACTTTGTATTGCAACTAGTAAAATTAAATTACCTAATTTTGTACTGAAATAGTGTCATGACCCCGATTCGCCCTCCGTGAACTATCGTGAAGGTACCTAGTCTCTACGACTAGGTAAGCCTAATTTGCGGAAAAAAATCAAAATTTTGCAGAAGTAAAACAATTTAAAATAGAAATAAAGTAGTAATAGTGTTTAAATGTGCCGCTCGGCTTACACCATGTTTAACTCTCAATACCAATACATAAATCCAAGACCCGAAAACCCACGAATCACATGCTAAGATCAATACTACATAGCTCTAACTCCGGAATGTCTAATAAGGACAGAAAAGTACAGAAGGGCTAAATAGTAAAAGCAGGAATAGAAAGGGACTTCTCGGTCTGCGGAAGCGGCAGATGTACCTCGAAGTCTCTAGAGCAGTCGTCTCCTCAAGGATGATAGGCCTGAGTAGCGGTACCTGGATCTGCACATGAAAAACATGCGCAGAAGGGGCATGAGTACACCACAGCAGTACTCAGTAAGTGCCAAGCCTAACCTCGGTTGGGTAGTGACGAGGAAGGTCAGGGCCCTACTGAGGTTAAATAAAATATAAAGATGACAGGATAGGTTAAGCAGTACAATTGAGAATCTACAGTAAGAATCTATACAGGATAATAAGAGTACAATAACGGAAACAGAGATGAAGGCAAACCACAGGGAAGTACCACTCATAACAAAGATGATAACCGGGGATCTCTTAGTATCCCGAGGATCTCTTGGTATCCTTTATGTATACCAGGGATCTCTTGGTATCCTTTATGTATACCAGGGATCTCTTGGTATCCTCAATATATATTGGGGATCTCTTGGTATCTCGAGGATCTCTTGGTATCCTCAATATATGTTGGGGATATCTTGGTATCCCGAGGATCTCTTGGTATCCTCAATATATGTTGGGGATATCTTGGTATCCCGAGGATCTCTTGGTATCCACAATATACGTGCTGGGAATCTCTTGGTATCCCGCACCTCAGTCCAGATCATAAATACGTACAGGGGATCTCTTGGGATACCATCCCGTAGTCCCAAATTAAAAACGCACAGCAGCAACGCAAGAATACTCAATAATTGCTAAATTTCGTACAAAGTAAATAGTTAATTCTAGTCTAACATGCTTCACGGAAAAACAATTGAGGT